TTTTTTGTTATGCCGACCCTAATCAATTTTATTGGTTTTTCACAGTCACTGTTATGCTTTTATAAACCGTTTGATTGTTCAAAGTGTACATATCATTTGCAATACATGTTGTTAGCCTTGGCTCGTGGTCAGTGTCAGAGATTCATCTGAAGATAGTAGCTACGTAGCCGTAGCCGTAGATAATTATGCTTATGATAAAGGTTGGGATCTGTGGATTAGGGTGACCATCTGTAGTCTAGGTGGGGTGAGGGTGGGGGGTCCAGTCTGTGATGTCAGTGTTTGTGTCCACTGCCTGATGCTGACCACCAGGGTCAAATGTAGTAGGATTTATGGCCAGTTTAACATTGTGGTATTGGTGTTGAATTTTAGCAGGATTTCAGCAGCATCAACAATTTTAATGTATATATCAACAATTTCTAATGTAACAGGATTTTGCTAAGGGACTAATAGTAAGGTAGTTCAGCTTGGGAATCGTAGAAGGAGAAGAGAGTTGGGCTGGGGAAAGAGGTTTAGTTAGGGAGACCGAGTTCAGAGGTCTACAGATAAAGAAGCGAGTTTAAATTTCAGTTTGAGCTAGAGTGACAATTAGGAAGTTTGTAATAATAGTAGTTTTAGCTGTAGTTTATAGATATGTGTAGTTTTGCAGTTTATAGCTGGAGACAAGTTTTAAATGGAGAGATTGAGTTCACAATGGTTAAGGCTTGTATATTTTATGAAGGATTAAAATACTTTTGGGTCAATCAATAAGTTACTTCAATGTGTCGTTTGGGCCTGCTCAACACAAAAACTAGGAATGCTGGGATTTTTTTTATTTGATTATTTATTTTACATGAATAAACAAGAGGCCCAGAGGGGCAGTATCATTCACCTGTTTCTTTTGTTACATGAAACTGACATATAAATAACTTAAGACCAATTTTGGTAACTAGAACACAAGACATTTCAACATCTCTTAAACTGTTCTTAAGATATTATTGTTTGAAGTTTGTGAATTTTAAAGCTTTTAACCCACATTGACCTTTGACTCATATGTTTCCGTGTGTCTATTTTGATGTAGTGTTCAAAGAAAGATAACTGTAAGTTGCTGAAACAAATCTATTCATCCACAATATATATATGATATATAGATCTATTGACTCTCTTGGCTATAATGATGGGTATTGAAAGATGACAAAAATTGTGATTTCGCATATGCTTCTTATTTTAATAGAAACTTCATATAAATCCAGTTTTTATAGCATTTAACAAATTAATTTTTACACATAAAAAGCACAAAAATTGTAAAATACTTTGCATAAATTATCTCTGGATGCAATATTTATAAATCATTGAAGTTAAGTTTGAAGTAATCCAAAGGGCTTATTTGTAAAGATATATACATATATATATATGTATATCTTTTCGTGGATATCAGATAACTATGCTATTATACATGATTAACAATATCCTTCCTAATATGTTTTATTTCAGTGTCTTTGTGGAATATGCTGCACTTGTTTTTGTAATGGATTCAAGAGGTGCAAATTTAAATACTTATATAGTCTAATGAACCTTTCGCATTCTCCCATTAATGTCATGTCACCATACACCTAGGCGGAAAACTTCAAGATATCAAACATCTTGTCAGCCAAAAAAAATCAAGAAAGGAAACTTAACTGTTATATACACTGTATAGCTATACATGTAGGTCTGATTTAGTAATTTATCACATCACGCAATGCTTGAAAGAGTACAGTACCGATATTCCGATACATTTACAGTACATACTGGCTCCGCCCTCACTAACGGCCGTGCCGTAAAACATATTATTCAAAAGAAAAGTGTGCACTTGTCCGTCAGGTAAAAAAACTACTGATGACAAACCAAGAACTGCGATATTGTATCATGCAATTCAGATCTCATCTGCTAGTGCTGACTGAAAGTCAAGCCGCACAGAAAGTTACATTTCAGCAAACCAGTATTTTATCGTATTTTATCACGTCGGATGATGACACACAGACAAAAGTGCTAGTATATTCCATACTTACTTTGACAAACGAGAATTAGATGATACTAAGCACTGAAACAGAAATTTCCCTTTACATAGGGTCATCGTGAAGTTGGCTTTCAACCCGAATAACCTGAATAGAATTGTACGTTATCTCGGTGAATAAACAAAACATAGAGCGTCAGATGCCGCTAACCTTTTACGTCCAACTGATCAATGTCTTGGGTGCGCTTGCAACTGGTGAGGTTTTTCTATGATAGACAATATTATATTGTTGCTGTAAAATATTCTGTCACATCAACCTATCGACTGTCTCCAGTTTGACCAGTGTACACACTTCTCAAACGGTACAAAAAAGGTAAAGTCGAACTGCTGATTTCACAGAGTCTGGCAAGTCATTTATATGGCAAAGGAAGAGTAGGGGTCCTAGTACTGTTCCTTAATAATAATAATAATATTTATTCAGGTAAAAATAGGCATGTAATTATTACAAGATATCACAATTTATAATAAAATATATAATTAAAATCACATTGCAGCTTGTAAATAAAAAAGAGTATTTTGTATTAAGACTGAGAATAGTAATAGATGTGACCTAGTAAAAGGTTTTTTAATTCAATCATTGACATATATCACAGAATATAAAAATACAACCATAAATGAATATAATTCCTACTCAGATTTTTCAATGATTTAATCAAATAATGGTTTGGTGATCCGATTTAGGTACTTTCACCTTAGAGGTATGTTTTTTCCCCAAATATCGGCTCTCGGGGGCAGATTCACCCATAATAATTAATTAGTTAGGTTCCAAAAATGTTAGTCGCCTGAAATTTCAACCTCATGTATAAGTCCTATTTAATCCATGTGATTTAAATATATATTGTATTTGTATATTTAAAATGGTACAGTATTTAGTTAATTAGTTTAGCTGATGTCTTCAACATAAACAAATAATTTATCAGCATCTGTGATAGAACACATCAATTTATTTTGTGACTAAAATGAATTTTATTTTCATTTTTATCCCACAGGTGAGCATGTTATATTTCCAGTGTTCTGTAGCTGTAAATAGATGACAAGATGCAGGCATCTCTACAGTATGATCATTATCAAGGAGCAGTGTATCCACTGGACCTGCATGCAGAACCAAACCATGGACAGTATAGAAAGACACCCATAAAATCACTGGTGAATCTGTGTGCAGAGTACATAGTGCGTGATGCAACGGTTACAAAAGAAGCAGTGCAGCATGTCCCACACCACCTCAGTGTGGCTCTCATGCAGGCAGCCCTGCTCGATAATCGTGACCGCTCCATGGAAACGCTAATATCTCATTGGCCGCTTAACAGCCTGACTCTGAAAAAGCTTGCCCCAACTTTATTCACATCTGTGGTGCCCCTGTACAATTCGACCTATCTTTCTGACATTGTCCGTCAGAGTCTACGCTACACCACCTGTTTATCACACACATTCCTGGAGTGTCTGAAAAAGCGCACACCAACAAAGCTCAAGTATCTTGACATGACAGGGTTTCCTACAGGTAAAGCTTTGATGACCTATGAGATTTTATTGCATGATCAATTCATTTTTTGTTTATTATTTAGATACATGTTTGGGTAAAACTGAAATCAACTTGAGATAAGGATTTTATGGCACGTTGGACATGTAAACGGAAATGGAAAGGAATCTGGAATTTTAAGATATGCATTCAGTTGTTTTGGTTAAGCACTCATGTTTTCTTATAAAATCTCCTGGGTGTCTTTCTTTTTACTAGAGGATGCAGTTTTATTACATCAAATACAGTATACAAATGTATGTAAAGTATCTAATGTAGTCCTATTTAATCTGGCCCAGTGTATGTATTTTATATCCAATATTCATGTAGCCTAGTTTCACCTGGCCCTGATATATTACAGCGGAAGTCATCCTATTTTACCTGGCGACCCACTGTATGTTGGCACACAATGAGGCCCGCCAGACTGTCATGGTGGACATGTACAACAGAGTGGTCACCCTGCTCCCGGACCAGACAGAATCGGACAAGTCTTCGTACCAGCTGATGACTGCTGATACGACCATCCCAGATTCCAGCTGTAGGTGAAATGTCCAATGCATTATAGCTTTGTAGAGAAAAAAACCTAATGCCAGTTGCAACCTGTACTGAAACTTCATTGGATAAGAAATATAAGTGAATCACAGTACCACTGCACAGAGACCTCTAATAATTGTCATAGAAAAACTGAAAAACACTTTTGGAAGATTATAATTTAATGTCAGGAATAAGATTGGAATTTTGCTTGTTTTGGTCCAGTGGATTGCTACTCATTGGGGACCTTGTCTCATAGAAGCGTCATTAATTTGTCCCCCTCTACAACAGTAGCCACATTATTTTGTCCCCTCTATAATAGTAGCTTCATTATTTTGTCTCCCTGTACAACAGTAGCCTCATTATTTTGTCCCCCCCCCCCTGTACAACAGTAGCCACATTACTTTGTCCCCCTGTACAACAGTAGCCACATTACTTTGTCCCCCTGTACAACAGTAGCCACATTATTTGCCCCCCCCGTTCAACAGTAGCCACATTACTTTGTCCCCCTGTACAACAGTAGCCACATTATTTTATCCCCTTCTACAATAGTAGCTTCATTAATATCCCCCTGTACAACAGTAGCCCTATTATTTCCCCCCCCCCCATGTACAACAGTAGCCACATTACTTTGTCCCCCTTTACAACAGTAGCCTCAGCTTCTCTTCCTTTCCTCCACCACCAAAACATGGAACATCCTTAAATGACCATAGCTGTTATAGGTTGTAAACACATAAACAATGGTAGCCACATCATTCATCATTTTGTCTCCCTTGTACCACATAAGCTGTATCATTTTGTCTCCCTTGTACCACAGAAGTTGTATCATTTTGTCTACCTTGTACCACAGAAGCTGTATCATTTTGTCACCCTTGTACCACAGAAGCTGTATCATTTTGTCTACCTTGTACCACAGAAGCTGTATCATTTTGTCTCCTTTGTACCACAGAAGCTGTATCATTTTGTTTACCTTGTTTTACAGAAGCTGTATCATTTTGTCTCCCTTGTACCACAGAAGCTGTATCATTTTGTCTCTGTTGTACGACAATTGTCAAATTATGATTGATTTTCTACAATCTTGTGGGTTTTTTAGTCACCGTGAAGATGGATGCCTTTGTCACATCAGATCAGACACATGCAGAACTATGTAAAGCTCTCAAAGTGTCTGGCTTCCAGGACAGTAAACTAAAAATCGTCCTGGAAACACTAGATGCAACTTGCTTGGGGGAACAGAAGCTTCATATACTGCTACAACAAGTCAATCCAAAGGTACAGTACAACACATACATACAATCGTAACTATAATTGCATCCTGTTGAGAGCACTGTTGTTTAATAATATTTGTTTGATGAAATGATTTAATTAATGATCCAATTTATATATACTGTACATGTATGTGTTGTGAATGGGGTTTGTTACACTCCTGTAACAATGTTCGCTGGGTTTCCTGAAATCAGAGTGTTAATCCGTCTGTTTTTAGACAAAATCTTGTCCACACAATTTATCTTACAGTTTTCAGCCCAATTTCATAAAAAAAACTCCACTGATATTTAATCAACAAATCCTGAAGTTGTGGTCTGTGATTGATGTTATGATCCAGTCATTTTTGTGGGAGTTATGAGCCTTTCCTGATTTCCTTATATACATTTTATCTAACTATTCCTGCTTACTTTACAGACCAATATTTATGAAACTTTGTACACATCATTATTACCCTAATATAGTTATAGCTTACAATTTATTGTGGACTTTCACTATATCTGTATGAGGTATGCCCCTTCTCTGATTTTCTGCTTAATAATATACATTTTGTCAAAAGTACTGCTTTCTCCCTTCACCCTTTTTCCCATTTATGAAACCTTGTAGTTGTGCACTTGTGAATATTTTTTTACTTGCATTGTTTTGATTCCCATTTATTCCCAATTTTGTCAAAAATAAATCCGGAACTACTGTAGACTAAATTAAAATTGTTGTAACAGTTTTTCTTCAGAGGGGCGAGGGGTATTATCTTGTGACTTACAGTTCTGGTTTTTATCTGGTTTAAAACTTTGCATGTATTGGTATGGTATGGCTTTGGTTAGTGGATATGTCTTGCAAAGTCTGTGGCCATGTTTTATGCTTAATATATTTCACATGCATATTCAATTAGCATAATGCAATCTCATTTGTTGATAGTTTCTGTAGGATGTCTATTCTGGAATATAATTTTATTTCAAGACTGTTGATGATGGTGTTCCGTTAGTTCTTCATTAGTAAGTGTTCGCAATAATTCCTAAAATTACATTTACCATCCTTGTTGTAACTTCATTTTCAAAAAACAGTTACAGCTGTGTACCTCATGTCTGCTATTGTCTGTGCCAATCCCAGTTCAAAGACTCAAAAAAAACCAATTTATCAACAAAGACAAGTAACACCAATCTTATGCCCAAAGATCAAGTAATTAAGTAACAATTATAGACAATATGGATACTGTGCTTTTGGGGGACATTGGTTAAACGACAAGGAGCTCAAGTGTGATGATATTTTTACAACTACCTCTGTTAATGTGTATTAATCTGAAGAATTCAAGTGAAGCTCAAAGTTGAAAGCCATTTCAGAAATTATTATGATATTGATTGATGTTTCATTTGCGAATTTCTACTTGATACCGTACCTTGAACATTACAGCATTGTATACCTGCAGACTGACCATTAGGAATTTTTGTTTCTAATAAGTTTTATATTTCATGTGCATGAAGTTGATACATTCTTGTGGGCTGTTTTATAATTCTTATCTATATTGATGTTTGTAGTTCCTGCAAGGTCTGCGTCTGAAGTATAATGCACTGAATTGTGAAGACTTCTGTAAATTGTCACCTGTACTGGAGCGGTTCAATAGTTTGATAGCTCTGGATCTGTCCTGTAACAGTATCAGGCACAAGGAATCATGTGATAGTCTAGCTCAGCTCCTCTCTGCCTTGCCTCATCTCATCCGACTTGACCTCAGCAACAATCGTGTGAAAACACGCCTTCGCCAGATTTTGTCCAATATGCCCAGTGCATTGCAGTATTTACGACTGGTGGGATGTGGCCTCGCCTTGACAGACATTGCATACTTATCAGTATCCCATCATATGTCTGGTTTAACAGAGCTGGACCTCAGTGAGAACAACCTACAACCAGCTGCAGCCAACTTCAGTAAACTGTTAAAGAGCTGTAAGTCCATGTTACACACACTGGAAATACAGGACTGTAAGTTACGCGATGACTCAGTGGAGCTGTTTACAGGAAACTTAGCCTCCATGGAAAGCCTTATGTATGTGAATTTATCAAACAATTCACTGAGCCTACCTGTTCATGAGTGTGTGCTGGAAGCAGTGGCAGGACTGCCCAGTCTTCAGGCCTATCGCCTCTCCTTTTCCAAGGACTGTTACAGTCCTGATTTACTGGACGATGAACTGGACATGAAAAAGGACATGTGTGTAGCACAAATGTACCACGTAATGAGGAGCATCAGGGGTGAGGCCAGTCTACCACACCTAATGTTTGTGGAACTAGAGAGATTAGATGACGTGGAATGACCTTAATGACAGTAAATCGTATTGAGTAGAGCAGATAACAAACTGTGGAGAATCAGAACACTGTACAAAGATATGCAAGTAGATCTGGCCGACTTCCATTTAAATTATTCGGTTATTTGATGTTCCATCATGGTCAAAGTCACAGCAAGGAATCAAATTTCATTTGTAGCAATGCTTTTCTTTTCTAGATTGTAGTATTTTTTTGATGAAACTGCAAATTTACATGTACATGTGCTATAAAGGGATAGTGTGTATCCAATTCCTCCTAGGATTTCGTTTGACACCCCTTTCACCACTGTTACTCTAAGATTCAACCCTATTTTACTCTTCATTGTGATGAACATTATGACTTACCCTTTTACATATTGTCACATTAAATAATTGAATTGCATAAAATTATCCTTGCAGAAATATTTTAGTCAACAAATACATATTGTACATCTAATGTATTTTAGAATCCACATGGTTTTCTACATAAGACTGATTTTACAAAATCTGAAATCACAATGGCATAGCTAAGATGCACATGTATAATGAGGATTTTTTAAGTGAACGATTAAGAAATAGACCAATTTGGATATTAATTAACTACAATAGTATTCAAAGTGCCTATTATCTATGACACTGGAGGATTTGCAGCATGAATGTGTTTCTGTTTTTACAGATTTTATCCTGAATGGGCAGGCTTCACATTGGTGTCCCAGTAAAATAATTATTTACTTCTTAATTACATGTCACCACTCCTCCTTAAAATACTTTGGGTTACTAGTACATAAATGTTGTTCTGGGCGAGTTTCTGAATATTATTCCGATATTAATTGACATAATATAAGTTGTCAGATCTTTCTAAAGTACTGCAGAGCACCGCTATCTTGTGATATAAATAACTACATGACTTTGAGGTCAAATGATGAAGTCCACAGATCATTAACAGAGGTGAATGGGGGTGTACTGAGGGTAGTGAGAAATTGACTACAGTTGTCGTAGATTACACACATCAATTCCCACAAGGTCAAGGTCACAGCAGGAGGTCAGCTGTCAAATCATTTTAATGCTTACAATTGTCAGAATTGCAACCTCCCTACCAGATGCAGCTTTAAAATTTCAAATGATTGCAATGCTTGTCCCAACCAAATAAACTATGAAAGGAAATTTCATAAATAGAAGTACTATGGCAAGATGTGTATTTATTGTATTACTTTGTCTGCGTCGTCCTAAACAAGGTTCCCTTGCGATAACTTTAGTTCCCTTTGGTTGATTGAACTCAAACTTGTTACACATATTGCATACTAATGTAGCTCAGACAAGTTTGCATTTCAGGAGTTGATGTGCATTTTTGGTGGAGTTATGCCCCTTTGATTACAAAATACCGGCATTGTGTAGTAAATGCAAGAACCTTTTTTATTTTTTAATCAATTCCTTTCAAATTTTGTATGGTAATGCTAGAAGCAATAATGTTAAACATATAATACTAATTTCAACTTTTTGCATTTTGGCATATCTGTTTAGGTGATAACTCAAGCCAAAACACTTTTCTTACTAAAAGCGCTGAGCAGGTGACACATCCACTCCCATGGAGTTCTTGTTCTTCATCAATACAGTTCTATGTAAAATCAAGGCATTCTATAATTCACAGTAATGGATGGTCAAATGTACTGAAATTAATGATTCGGTGTTGACTTGGATAAGTGCTAAAATAGGTTTACCAGTAAAACATGCACAGTTAAATTACTCTGAAAATAAAATAGTAAATGTATGCTATCTTTTTTCAAACTGTTTCCCTGGTTGCTTGAAAGAAATCTCTTCTTTATAACTGAAGATTCATTATTGTTTCATGCTTCAGAAACTAAAGTGTGGGTATTATGTATTGTTACAGATATGAAATTATGTTGTATCAGAAGTCTGTTAAATTTGTGTGGCTCTGACAAAGAGGATCACAGTAAAAGTTAGTGCTATAAACTAATTCAATCTTGTATTCCAATCAAGTTTTGTCAATGATTCACTTTCACAAAACAAATATATTTTCCAACATTGAGTGTAAGAAGAAAGCAATGAGCATGTGTGCATGCCTGAGGGACAGACAGAGAATGGTAGATATATTGTTCACAAATTTGTTAGATCTGTTAAGGAAAATAAATCTGAATTTAGATCTGTTAAGGAAAATAAATCTGAATACAGATGAACAATTTATTTTGTTATTCTTATTCTGCTAGATATACACAGGTTTAGCTTTGAGTGTTTACACTTGCCATTTAGCTCATCAGATCACTATGGAGTTGGCTTAGTTCTGAGGGTCTGACAAAAAGGTCCACAGTGAAAATTAGTGGGGGCTTAACCAATTCATTCATGTATATAAATTAAAGTTTCATCAATGATTTGCTTTCATAAACAATTCAATTGTATTTTCTAATAACGAGTGTCGGATGAGAGGACTATGCATGTATGTTGAGAGACAGAAAGGGGATCATAGAGATTGTTCACAAATTTGTGAAATTGTATAAAATGTTTTTTCTTTCGCTAATGAAAATAAATCTGTATACAAAGAATTCATTTTGTGATTCTTATTCTGCTAGATAAACACCTTTTAGCTTTAACGTTGGTTACTCTTTCCATTAAGCTAATCACAGTTCCATGTAATTGCTTTAGTTGATTTTGCTACCATAGAGCCATTTGACTGGTTACCCTACCTATTTTGTTCACAATGTCACCATAAAAATGGATTTAGTCCTATTCAGTTCATCAGGCCACAATAGACGAGGTTACACTTCCTGTTTAGCTCACTAAGCCACAATGGAAACGCTAACCCTTCTTTGTCAGCTCACCTTGCAACCATAGAATTGATTTCCTATGTACATGTCGCTCACCTGGCAACTGTAAAATTGGTTATCCTTCCTTTTAGCCCATCCTCATCAGGTGGTGGGCTGTTTAAATCTAACTTTTGCAGGTGGTCTATCATCCGTCTTTTGTTATCCCTATTTCTCAGTAGTAGATGGATCTTTCATAAATAGGTTTCCCTTGGTCCTCAGATTTACTTGCTTGATTTTGAGACTTGTTGCGATAAAAAGATGGTTACCAGTTGACCTTTTGGATTTTGACAATTCCATTTTGTTATCACTATTTAAAAAAAAAAAATCTACAGATCTTTTTCCACACTTTTGCCCGTTCACCCTCGTCTTAAGATGTGCACGTTTAATTTCGAGACTGAACACAATAATAAGATGGTTGCCAGGCAGTTACTTTTGATTTTGACAGTTAAAGATTTGATATGTTTTTTTTCTTTCAAATAACACTTGATAGGTCATTCTCTAGCTTCTTTTGATTTGTATGTTCCCCTTAGGTACGCACGTTTAATTTGAGACTGATTGCAAGAACATAATGGCTGCCAGGTGATAATCATGGGTTTTGACAGTCAATGTTAACGTTATCACCAATTCTCAGAAAGTACTGGTTGGATCCTTTGAACATAAGTATGCTATTGTTGGTCTATCATTTCTCAAGAAACGTTTGACAGATCCTTCTCAAATGTCTTGTGTATATAGGTTTTAATACCATCGTCGGTTAAGTTATGCATCTTTTCACAAAGTTCAGAAGTGGATTACTAATAGTCCTGACTTATGTATGTTAAATTTATGGAATGATTGCAAGAACAGTGCCATCTTGAAATCTGACAGTGTGTCCTTCTGGGTCTTAATCTCTTCATGTTATATTTTGAACAAGATGGCTGTCTGGAAGGCATGTTAGACTTTGATAACTAAAGTTTGTTATTTCTTAGAAAGTACTTAAGGTATCGTTCATGAAGTTCCTAACTAGGCTCTTTCTGGTACTTAATTGTGCATGCTTCATTTTCAGCTTGATCAAAAAGAAAAATGGACACCCGCAGGACATCTCGACTTTGACCATTGAAGTTCATTACTCATTTCTCAGTAACAGATTTTTCTGAAAATTTCCAAAGCAGATTTTTCCTGTTCAGTCGTTTTGAACTTGAATTAAAGAAAACAAGAGTACTGCGGGGCGGAACAAAATAAGCCTGTTGAATGCCATATAGTGTTATATACTTTCTTATATGCTATAACAAGAGGCCCATGGGCCTTAACGGTCACCTGAGTCTATAGTATTTATTTTTGTTGTTGAAATATGTACCAATTTGAGTAAAAAATAGTATAATGTTAACTTAACTTTGTCAGGACCATGAGCTGATCATTCCNACCTTGAAAAATGTAGGAGGAGATTGCCGGACAAAAATCAAATACTGAAATAAACAAAGGGCAGTAACTTTTGGGAAAATTGTTGAATCAAAATTCTTTTAAGGGAGACACAACTTCATATCATGATTATAATGTATACCAAGTTTCAAATAGATCGGTCGAAAAAATGTAGGAGGAGATTGCCGGACAAATAAAGTTTACGCCGGACAGACAACGACATACCATAATACTACAGTCAAATTTGACGGTCGTATAAAAATTGGATATCAAAGTCCCTCATATTTTATATTATGCAATGTACATCAAAGTTTTACTTTACACACAAACAATGTACGTATTAATTGTGTCGCATGTTACAAGACAGACTGGTCTATTTGTCACTATACTATTTGTTAACCTGTACAATGATGTGACGAAATTGTATATTTCATGTCACTTGACCTGGGACGTTTCGCCTAATGGTTACTGATTATTATATTTCGTATTTTTTATTATTCCCTAGTAGGACAACCTCACAATATCAAACACTAAAGTAGGAAATTTTGATCATAGTTACCACATGATGCATATACCATTACATGCAGTCAATCCAACAGATAAACAAAGAAAAAATATTAAACTTACATAGAACTTATCAATAATCTTCCAACTTGGTGAGAGCCAAGAGCCTTGTTTAGTTCCATATAATCAGTACAATGGTAGTATCAACTATCAAGCTTTTGTAGTGAAAATATTGGTGATGCTGATTTCTTTGGATGGACATTTCTTGTAAAATGCATCAAAAATATAAATGAAATCACATTATATATTAATATTATTCTGTGATGTTATTCTGCCAAAAAATGTATTTACTACAAAATATTGAAAACAAAAACAAATTAACTGACATGTACAAATGATTTATTTACAAGACGGAACAACGAAAAAATACACTCTTAACCAATGCATATGATAGCCAACAATAAAAACTTCCCCTAACACTTCGCTATTCTTCACACTCACTCTTATTGACATTTATAACATTGATACTATTTTCTTTCTTTCTTCCATGCAAAAGATAACATTTACAGCTTTATCACACCTGATCAACTAGTCTGAACTTTCCATGGAGTGGGACAGGGTAAATGTTAAAGAATTTTTTGTGAATGACCACTCCCTTTTGTACAGGTGCAAAGAGTGGACTATCTGGCTTGGGATTCAGGCGCTCACACGATACAATCACCTTCCCATCACACTTGGCCGAAATGGTGTAGTTCTGTGAAATGTCAACCTGTGAATAAAAATTGAATTGATCCAAATAAAATATGATTTTTTTTTTTTTTTAAATAAGCATATTACACGAGTTTTTATGGTACCTATAATTTGTTTCTGCATCATATGGCAAATGCATGAACTGTTTAAACTAAATAAATGTTAAACAATCTTCAACTTAAAATGACTCCTCAGAGACAAATTGCATTGTTAAAGCTTACATTCTCCCCAGGGTAGAATCGGAGGCCAGTTTGTTTCACAAGAACTTGACCCTCGTGAACAAATGCACCGTCCTGCACTCTGATACCCCTGTTCCTCTTTCTTGTTCTCCCAGTATCCATAGTGCTTCTTGCTGTCCCAGCTCTGACCTTTTTAGCAGTCCTTATCTGGACAACAGGCAAACCTGAAAGTCAAAATGAGATTTGAAAGTTACCTGTTTAAGTATGTATCAAATTCAATTGTTGCATTTAAAAGTTGTTTAACTAGTTGCACTTCTTTGACAGTGCAACGCACACTTGGCTATATCTTTGATGTTATAAAGCTTATGTTGACCTTAGATGTTGAGGTTATTTTTTGGGGTAACCCAAATAAGTTCTACAGGAATTTCCATATGGTTACTTCCTTTGTGTTGAGTACCAAAACCTCCATAACTAAATTGGTTCACTGCAATAATTTGCACTTGTACACAAATATTGAAACTTTGCATGTCGTAAATTAACAGTACCTACTGTACATGAATGAAAAGAAGAAAACACAAGATCCAGAGACTTAATAGATCACCTGGAATATATTTTTTTTTCAAAACTTGCTAAATACCATACCAGTTTATCAAAGGAGAAAAAGAAATATATGCTGTAAGAAGGAATAAATCCTTTTGGGGGTACATAACATAGTAACAAGGTCATGAGTGTATTGTTTGTGCCCAAAAATCCCCATCCCATAAACATGTTTATGGAGTGAATCTCAAATGTTTCCCGTTATGGTCCTAGGTTGGGTCTGGGCCTCCGAACAAACACTGTTAGCATGTATGTCTTGGGGACCTAAACCAGTTCTAAAATATGACGTAAATTCTTCCATTGGGTCCTGGCACTGCTCCCCTGTCCCTGGAGGCATCAGTGGTAGTGTACACACACCCCACTCCCCCTTTTCAACAAGATTGTGTCTCCTTTGCCCAAAGATGACCACAGAGGTCACATCCTCCATTTTAACAAAATTGTTTCCCTTAGACCTTATTCATTAAAATACCTCCAGTCATATGAAAGCAGAAAGATTTCAAAATCGGTGAAAAATACTAGTATTGTTCTGATAATTGGTTATAATCGAAAATCAATCGATTATACAAGTTAACCAATTCAAATTAACTGATTGATAAATTTCATAATCGATGATGCTGTTGATATCTGTCAAATTTACTCGTTGTCAAATTCTAGTAGTAGGTTAAAACCAAAAGTGTAAAAGCATAGAAGACTGTCAATTGTACATGGCAAAATTATGCTGCAAATCCCAATTCTAAGTGATATACAGTGTACCAATCATAATTTCACATTCAACGAGATATTTCAAACAGATTTACCCGAGTTTGCATGTCCCGATAATAATCGATAATTGTTCTTTAAAAGTCTTCTGATAACACTAAAAAATACTCCAATGGTACAGAGGGAGGAGTTTTAGATATCAAAGAAGATTTAACTCTAACACTAACACACACACACACACACCCCACCTCTTACAATTTGGGATACCCCACCCTTCTGTCCCTAAGGGGGATTTCCCTTTGCCCAAGGATGCTATAAACCAAATTTGGTCAAAATCACTCCATTGTCAATGTATTGATCAACACGTACATATATGAGAAAGTTTTACCTCATTCTTCTTTGTCGTACGGGGGTTATTTACAGTGATTAGGGTTGGGTTTTTTGTGAATTTTTTGTGCAAGGTATAGATAAAAAGATAAAATCTGGCGTATGTTTAGCATTTGATGAGGGCTTCAAGGGCTGTGTAGGGTAAGTGTGCCTTGAAGTCCTCTAGTGTTGTGCATTGTACTGCTCCTATTTGTTTAATTTGGTTTGTGTTGTGTGGATCCCAAATGGAAGAGCAGTATTCAAGTTTTGGCCTGACTAGTGCTTTGTATGCATGTTCTTTCATATGTGGTGAGTTTATTTTTAAGTTGCGTTTTAGAAAACCTAGGGACCTATTGGCATTGGCTGTGATGTTGTTAATATGTTTGTCCCATCGTAGGTTATTTTGTGATGTTAATCCTAAGTATTTGCTTGATTCTACTTGGTGTAATGTGTGGTTGTGGAGTTTGAAGTCATGGTGTATTTTGTTGCGGTGCAATGTTGAGTATGTCGCATTTGTCAGGGTGTAATTTCATTAACCAGTCCGTCTCCCATTGTCCTGCTGCGTCAAGGTCATGTCGTAGTGTGTCTTCTTTGTTGTTTATCGTCTTGTATATGATGCTGTCGTCTGCAAACAGTCTAAGTGTGCTGTATTCGTGGAAGTCATTGATGTAGATGAGGAAGAGGATGGGACCCAAACAGGTTCCTTGAGGGACCCCAGAGGTTACTTGTATTTTGTCTGATTGTTTGCCCTCAAGTACTACTGTTTTGGTGTGGAATGAGAGAAAGTCTGTAATCCATGCGTGTGTGTTCCCCGTTATCCCGTAATATTTGAGTTTGTATTGTAGTCGTTTGTGTGGGACTTTGTCGAAAGCTTTGGCAAAGTCCATAATGATGATGTCGGTCTGTTTAATTTGTTGATGTTGTTGTTTGATGCGAGATCATGTATGAATGTGGTGAGCTGTACATGTGTTTCACAGGATCTGGAGGATCTAAAGCCGTGTTGTAGGTCATATAATATGTTATTGTTCTCCAGATGTGTCATTGTGGTGCTTGTTATGATGTGTTCCATGAGTTTACATGTCTTCTTCTTTATATACGAGGGCTCCATCAGTTTGATGATTATGCCATCGGGGGTCCTGTTGTAGAGGCGTGAAGGGGTTATTTATAGTGATTAGGGGGGGGGGGGGNTTTGTAGCAGATATGTGTTTGTATGCGTACGGGTGTACCTGTCTGGTGCGGGGGTCTACAGGTGTGAGTATATGTGTTGGGTTTAAAGCTACGATTCTGCGTATAATTTTGTAAAAAAGGATAATCCTAGTGTATAAGCGTCGTGTTTGTAGTGTTGGCCATTGTGATGCAGGTTAGTGAAATCCCCCCTATTGTATCCACCCTCCTGCCCCCAGAGGGTGCCACACCATGTATTTATGCAAAAATGGGATCCCCTTTGCTCAAGGATACTCCAGACCAAATTTCGTCAAAATCTGCTTTACCTTTCAGGTCAAGTAGCGCTTCAAAGGGAAAAGTTGACGGACAGACGATGGACGCTGCACCACGACATAAGCTAAAAATGAATCTCAAATTCAGACCTTAAAATGTAAAGAGAGAGTAATTAAATGCGTGAATAATAACATAAACAAATGACAAACCCTTAAAAGACGATAATAACTGTGGAACCACCCGTTGACAGCATTTTGTCAAGGAGGCTGACATTTTGAAAGTAGTTCGAAGGAGAGTGTTTGTATCACTACGCAAATTGGTGAGTTTATCTGTTGTATTAGAAATACAAATGAGCATAACTCATATATCAAATACGAGATAATCTTATTAAAAATATGCATTTTTAACTATATTTTTTATTTTAAGATCAACAATATAAAAATTATGTTTATTCCTGTGGTCCCTGCGTCTTTACTTCCGGAGGTGTTGTTGGGCATCTAAAAAACTGGTTTGTTTACAGAGATGGTAGGTCTTATGCACAGTACATGATGGTAAATACATATAGTGCCTTTCATTTGGAACTTTTAAAATTTCTTCGATTTGTAATATTTGATTATTTACAGACCAGAGGTGTTCTGCACGCATGCCAAGTATCAATGTTTCACACTTTTCGCAAAAAATGTTATTGGCGGGAATTTTGATTGCCGCTCACTCTCTACAAGATACACGAATTTTTATTTAGAGTCGTATATGTTGTAATGGAAACATTAACTCTGTAGCGCTATTATTACGACAAACAAAGGTATAAAAACAGGATATATAAGACAACATGCAGAAAACAACAGGCATATGTAATAGGACGAAAATTAGTGATAAAGATAGTGCCGTCGCTGGGGTTCGAACCCGCGACCCTTGGATCTCCAGCCCGATGCTCTACCGCAGAACTAAAGGGAAATTCCCTACAGCTGATTTGTTTTTGTTTTGTTTTAACAAATTTTATTATATATATATATATATATATATATTAACATATATAAATGGATAAGTTAATAGGCTAGGCCTATATAAATCTTCTCCAAATTAAATCACAGCATGCAGTAATTAAAACAACTTGACACGTACAGGACAAACTATATATAAAAAGCTAAATTAAAATTGATGCCGCACAAAATATTCATGCCACATGCTCACAAACTAAGAAACCATAAAAAAAAGGTTCACTATATACATAAATGCCAATATGGCACGAGTTAAACATTGACCGAATATACGCTAATATAGTATAAATTAGAATGATGATTTGACAAGCATTGAGTAAGTCATACAATCCGTAAATAAGAGCACTAAGCAAAAAATGAAAGGAAGTAAAAGCATAGAAGCTTGGTATCACAAGACATGGTAAAAATTAAGTATAAAAATAATAAAAAGGTTGGCACAAACAAAAAGGCTAGTTACATATGGCGCAGGACGTCCAAAGTGTGCAGGAGTCTGCGAAAGCTCTGGAAGTTTTATACTTACCTCAGTTAATTCGCCAAATTGTTCCACACTTGAATTGGGAAGCCTCAAAATGATAAGACTTTTTTCCATACCTTGTTGTGTTAACGCTTGGTACCTGAATTGAATTATATTCAACATTAATTTTACAATCAAATAATTTAAAACTTCTGGAGCTAAACCATTTTAAAATTTTAACGACTTCTGTAGCATAGTCTTTATTCTAACAACATGTAAAAATGTGAGGTTAAATTTCTGCGTAAAATATCTATCACGGGTGAGGTAAAATTATTTTCAATAAAACACAGAGCTCTTTCTTGTATATATCTTTTCCATCTTTCGGGTGTTGCTGAGGCTACAAAAATGCCAGGCTAGGGGGCAGTAATTCAAATTAGATGAAATAAACAATTTAAAAATGGTGATCTTTCCCTTTTTGGTAAGACTATTTCCAATTCTTTTCAAAATAGCTAATTGTTTGGAGGCCTTTCTACAGATCTTAGATACACGGTCATCAAATTTCAATACAGAGTCAATCTCCACACCTAGCAGAGTAACACTATTTCTACAATCAATGACCTGGTCTCGTATTGAAAAGGATTTAATGTTGCCACAGGTTTTTTCCCTGAAATTTACTAGGATTTGCTTTCATACCATTTGCTGAAAACCAGTTTATCAAAAATTTACTTTCTTCTTTTCTAGAGTAAGTTTAAGGTTTAAAAAACAGTTGCTAATATATGAAAGGGTATTGTCATCAGCATAATTGTACAAAACGCAGTCTTTTAGAAACGTAAAAATTTCATTAAGAAAAATGTAAAAAAATCAGTGGGCCGACAATAGACCCCTGGGGGACTCCCTTGCTCAGCAGCTTCCAGTCGCTGACAACAGGGCCAAGTCTAATCTGCTGATGTCTGCCTCTGAGGTAGCTGCCGATGAAACTGACTGCTGTCTCATCCAGGCTATAGGCTCGCAGCTTCTCCAGTAGCAGATTGTGTGGAATACAGTCAGGCCTTGGACAGATCCATCACAACTGCACCAATATACTGATGATCATCCTAGGCCCAATGCCAATCCTCAAGTAGATGCAGCAGAGTAGACTGGCACCCAAAGCCCCTTCTGAAAGCTGCTAAGTAAGGATTAAAAAATATACTAAATTAAAAAAATCACTTAGTTGTGTATGTACAATTCTTTCAAATACTTTTGAAAGAGTTGGTAAAATGCTAACAGGCCTGTAATTTTCTTTATTCATGGGGTCATTCTTCTTAAAAATATGTATTACTTGTGCCTGTTTTAAGGTATCTGGGAACTGATGTTGTGATATACAATGATTAAATAACATAGATAAGGGGTGGGGGCTTAGGGCCTCAAATCCTATTTTTGGCATTAGAAATTCCATCCACCCCAGTAGATTTCTTGCAGTCTAAACAAGATATAAGTTTCGTTAACTGTGCAGTACTGACATTGCTTAATTTAAAGTACCCCTCATCTGCCACAGGTTTCATGTTTCATGGTCCTCTACTTCTTGTTATCCCCCGCTTTCACCGAAACGGGGGATATTAATATGGGTCTGTCTGTCACGCTTCGTTTCCTTGAAATAACTACAACAAATGTTAACCGATTTTCTTCAAACTTGGTCACAGGGTTAAATGCCTTAAGGGCTCGGCCAAGTTCGATGACCACTTTCAGCAGACCCCATTTGGCAGAGTTCTGGTCCCTTGAATAATGAAACGTCATTATCTGCCGCGATTTGTTTCCATGCAATAAATACAACAAATGTCAACCGATTTTCTTCAAACTTAGTCACAGGGTTAAATGCCTTAAGGGCTTGACCAATTTCGATGACCACTTTTAGGGGACCGTATTTGGGGAGCTATGGCCCCTTGAGTAACGAAAACCTTAATTATCTGCTGGGTTTTGTTTCTGTGCAATAACTATAACAAATGTTAACCGATTTTCTTCAAACTTGGTTCAATTTTGATGAAAATAGGTATATAGGGATATTAGGGGACTGCAAATTCAACCGCATTTGTTTCGTTGCCATAGCTACCACACGGAGGCTTCTGATTGGTCGAAATTTATTTATTGTTCGATTTTGATGAAAATTGGTATATTATTTATAGCGATATTAGGGGACTGCTAATTCAGATATTGTTCGAATTTGATGAAAATTGGTACCTTGGGGTATAAGGGGACTGCAAATTCAACCGCATAGGTTTCGTTGCCATAGCAACCAAATGGAGGCACTTCTGATTGGTCGAAATTTATATTTATTTTTAATTTTTATGAAAAATGGTAATTAGGGGACTGCGAATAAAACAACAAGTTTCGTTACCATAGCAACCACACTGAGGCTTATGATTGGTCGAAATTTAGATATTATTTGATTTTGATGAAAATCGTTATAGAGGGGTATAAGGGGACTGAAAATTCAACAGCATAAGTTCCATTACCATAGCAACCATATAGCAACCACAAGAAGGCTTCTGATTGGTGGAAATTAAGATATTGTTCGATTTTGAAGAAAATCGTCATAAAGGGATATAAGGGTACTGCAAATTCAACCACATAAGTTTAGTTACGATAGCAACCACAAGAAGGATTCTAATTGGTCGCAATTTAGATATTGTTTGATTTCGATGAAAATTGCTATATAGGGGTACTACAAATTCAATTGCATACGTTCCGTTGCCATAGCAACTACACAGAGGATTCTGATTGCGATCCTTTTCTGATGCATCTTTGCGGATTACAGATTACAGATGTCCCCCAAACTGCCCCAATTTGGGGGACATCTGTAATGGTCCCCCATTACAATTAGTACTTGTTGCTGTAGATATTGTTAAGATGTTTCAACCAAATTCTTTATGCAAATCCAACATGCTAAGTTTGCCAACCAATGTGATTTGTTCATATTTACGGATAATCAATGAGATAGATAGAAATATCTTTTGGAGATGTTAACTTTATGTTCAATAAATATAAGTTGATTTGAATACAATTTTTTTGCGTGTTTTAACTTTTCACTTTTAGTTTACACTTTTAGACATTATTTATTAATTGGCATCATTTGAAAAATATTCGTTCCAGATTTTTTCTCTCTCCAAAAGATGTACATGTTTTGTTTACATACATAGTCAAAAGTGTTTCCTGTGAGTTTTTGTGTCGTACATCAGTTACCATACTGATTGGTTGAGTAAGCTTTGGACTGACACTAATGGAATAAAGAACATATATACACACTCACAGGGTATTCCGATACAACAAACAAGAACATTGTGTCATTAGAAGACTTGTTCTACTTGTTTTAATTCTTTAAATGCAAGTACTTTTTGAAAAATAAATACATATTTGCGACCGTCAGTTGCATAATGACGGACATATTTTACTATTTGGTCACTTTTAGAAGCAGCGCCTTTAATTGAACACTTTTTGACACATGCGTTAGGTTTGTGAATGATGAGTCAAAATCAAATGTGTTACAGTGTACCAGGATTGATTGTGGGCTATACCTCATTCTTAGTCCCCAAGTCATGACACTGTTGAGATCCCCCCTTTATATTTATATTTACAAGTGCATGGCTACTATATGTATTAATGATTGAGAAAGAATGTACTTCTATATTAGGAAGAATGGGATCGCCCAGTTTACACTATAATTATACTGTCCTGATAATATGTTTACAGGTACAGATTGTTACCCAGATATTGTAGAATTAATTACAAGTAATCAATCAATATTTCTTCTATTTACAGAAACAACATTGATGACACATGGACAATTAATTAATAAAAACAGGAGTTTTATATACATCATTACATTGTATATATGCAAAGAACAGGAGTTTTTCTTATCCATATGCATTAAATACAAGAAATGGAATGTGACTTGAGTGACACTGATGTCATTAGTGATATGGACTGTGATTTACCTGATCTTGATGGGCCACAAGTTGTGTCTCAACCTACTCGTCAGATCCACTGTTTATCTGATAGTTCTGACTCTGATGCAGATGAAGTTAATTGTAAAACTGCATACATTCCATTAAAAGAACGGGTTCTTAATTGTCAGAATTCAAATAAAAGTAACAAATACCAAGAATTCTCTGATGCCTCGGATGTTGAGATTGTAGATTATAAAGCCAGCCATGATCTTACCAGGAGCCCTGTACATGTTGCTATTAGCGACGATTCAAATGACAGCTGTGTATTGAGGTGCTACAGCCCATGTAGTGACAATGATTTGGAACACCAACCTCTGTCCAGTCTGATCAGTAAGGCACCCTGTACCACTACAGGTCCATCTGTGTTAACTAATAAAAATGTTAGTCATCATGTCCAAGGAGCTGAACCTGGAATTCAAATTTCAGGATATAGTCAACTTTCAGAAAGTAAAACTTTGCTGTCTACCATTCCCAGTATGCAAAACTCAAGGAAAAGAACTGCAGATGAAATCATAGAAAGGAAAAGACAAGCACAGGTATTGGTGTGCATTTGTTCAAATGCAAGATATACTATAAGAGTGAATAATATAATCTTCCCCTACCTTGCAGGTGTGACAGAGAAATCTCCAACACCGAAGGGTGATGTTTGTTGGTTGCCTAACCCGAGGCTCTGCTGAGGGATAGACAACCAACAAACATCACCCCGTGGGTTGGAGATTTCTCTGTTACATCCTCAAGGTAGGGGATGATTATTTTTCTCCCATCCTATTATTTCAGTCACAGCTCCACCGACAATAGTCTGCCATGTTTGTAAACAAAAACACATATGGGGTATGCATATCGTCATTCACTTTTGATGACGTCACAATTACTATTGAAGCATTTTAATGACGTCACAATTGAACACGTGCTAATGAAAGTCTTTTTAAAAAGTTTCCCTCAAAGAAACATTAACAAATCTTTTATAAATTGTAATGTGAACTATATTCATTGATGACATATTTGAAAAGGTATACAGGAATGTGTACAATGTTATTTTGAAGGGAGATAACTCTTACACATAAGTAGAATATTTATATTCTGATAAGTATCAAAATGCATTCCTTCTGTATTGCAATACATTGTGAAACACTCCAGGTGTATCATGACATCCCCAGTAGCCCCATAGTTCTTTTATGTGCATTGACTTGTTGCATGTGCCTGTAACGTGAAATTTGAGTCCAAGTTGGAAAATATCCTGTAAATTTAATTGTCAAAATGTTTATTATAGGATCCTGCTAGTTGATAATGAAGTAACATGTATTTCCTGATGCTTTTAAAAACAATCAAACAATACTAATTATTCTGTTTAAAATATTATTTTAATTTACTTGAAAAATTATGATATATGTATTTCAAATATAAAAATCCAGATTTTAGGGACTACTAGGTATCCCGTATATATGTATAATTGGGGATTTTGTTTTTCATGACATTTTGTTGGAGGGGGAAAAGGAAAAAAATCTGTCTCTGAGAGTCTGTCCCCATCCCCACTTTTCAAAAAAATATTGATCTGCTGCTGGATATGAATAAATACAAGGGTTATTTTTAAATAGACATAATGATGTGTATTAATAACAGTTGTATCTGAATGAGGCCAACACAACTCATTATCTGTTGACATTGTAACAAATTACTGTCATTACAGATGAAACGAGATGAAAAGGAAAAACAGAAGTTTGAAAGACAGAAATCAAAAGACGAAAAACAGGCAGAGAAAGAAAGAGCAGCACTTATAAGAAATGCAGAGAGAAGCAGAAAGAAACAGTATGGTCTGCTGAAAGATTGTCTTAGTGTAAGTGTTTGTCCTTGACCACTTCACTCCCTTGTTAATTCGTGCTCCTGAATAATGATCTTATCCAGTGTAATATTGGATGGACAAAAGCAACTTCACTAAAATTCCTTAATTAACAATTCTTCTGACATTCAGTTTTCTTAGTACAATTTTTAGCTCACCTTATGCCATACCGCAGCGTCCGTCGTCCGTCCGTCCGCCAACTTTTTCTTTAAAACGCTACTAGTCATTAACGACTGAGCAGATTTTGACCAAATTTGGTCAGAAGCATCCTTGGGGGAAGGGGAACAAATTTTGTATAAACGGTGGGTCTGGCCCCCCTGGGCGCTGAGGGGCGGGGCCCAATAAGGAAACCTTAGCAAATTCTTTAAAATCCTTCTTCTTCTGTAGGAATGAAAGGATTTGGTCCACATTTGGTCTGAAGCATCCTTGGGTGAAGGGGAACCAATTTTGTATAAACGGTGGGTATGGCACCCCAGGGGCCTGAGAGGCAGGGCCCAATAGGGGAAACATAGCTAATTATTCTTTAAAATCCTTCTTCTGTAGGAATGAAAGGAATTGGTCCATATTTGGTGTGCAGCATCCTTGGGTAAAGGGGAACCAATTTTGTATAAACGTTCGGTCTGGCCTCCTGGGTCCTGAGGGGTGGGGCCCAATAGGGGAAATAGAGGTAAAAACCTTTATAAACCTTCTTCTACCATAAGGGACTCAAATTTGTATAAACAGCGAGTGTGGCCCCCCTGCGGGCAGAAGGGAGGGGCCCAATAGGGGAAACATAGCAAATTCTTCAAAATCCTTCTACTTCTGTAGGAAAGACAGGATTTTGTCCAAATTTGGTATGAAGCACCCTTGGGTGAAGGGGAACCAATTTTCAAGGGGACTCAAATGTGTATAAGCAGTGGGTGTGGTCTCCCAGGGGACAGAAGGGCGGGGCCCAATAGGAGAAATAGAGGTGAAACCTTTAGAATCCTTCTTCGACCATCAGGATTAAGGGATTTTATCCTTATTTAGTCTGGTGCAACCTTGGGTCAAGAGGACTCAATTTTGTATAATTGGTAGTTATGACACCCCCCCCCCCCCCCCNAATTATTTTAAACATATTCAGGTGAGCGGTACAGGCCCTCTGGGCCTCTTGTTTTTATCTCATTGGATATCTCTGATTCAATCTTTTTTTAGCTCACCTATACTCGTAGGGCGAGTGAGCTTATGCCATGGTGCGTTGTCTGTCGTCCGTCATCAATCTGTTCATCTGTCCGGCGTCAACTTTTTACTTTAAAACAACTTCTTCTCAGTAACCAAAAGGCCTAGGATGGTGATATTTGACCAGTAGCATGCTAGGATGCAGGGCTACCAAGTTTGTTCAAATGAATGACCTAGACTTATATTCAAGGTCACAAGGATCAAATATGTTTTAAACATATAAACAACTTCTTCTGAATAACCAAGAGGCCTAGGGTGATGATATTTGGCCAGTAACATGCTGGGATAAAGGGCTACCAAGTTTGTTCAAATGAATGACCTTGACCTATATTCAATGTCACAGGGGTCAAGTATGTTTAACTTGAACAATTTCTTCGGAATATCAGGACAACTTCCTGTTCAAATGAATGACCTTGACTTATATTCAAGGTCACAGTGGTCAAGTATGTTTAACTTTTAACAACTTCTTCTGAATAACGAAGAGGCCTAGGGTGATGATATTTGGTTAGTAACATGCTGGGATGAAGGACTACCAAGTTTGTTCAAATGAATTACCTTCACCCATTTGCAAGGTCACAGGGGTTTAAACATGTTGAAAACTGTAAATGACTTCTTCTATAACCAAAAGGACCAGGGTAATGAGGATATTTGGCCAGTAACATGCTGTGATGAAGGGTTACCAAGTTTGTTCAAATGAATAACCTTCACCCATTTGCAAGGTCACAGGGGTCAAATATGTTGAAATCTTTAAACAACTTCTGAATAATCTGATTTGGCAAGAAGAATGCTGGTATGAAAGGCTATAAAGTCTGTTCGACTTATTTTCTTTGTTTGACTTTCAAGGTCACATGTTTAAATCTTTTTATAAATTCTTTTGAATCAAACACTGGTATTTTGCCTGTAGCTGTATTTTAGTCCACTTTTACGATTACAAGTATAAGATTAATACCAGGTGAGCGATTCAGGCCCATTAGGCCTCTTGTTTAGTATCAGTTTAGTCTTGGTTTTTAATTAGTTATTTAATAACATTTTAAGTGAACAGTCTTGGTCTTTGTTATTTTGTGTTGATAATCTTTCTCTTTGATAAGTAATTATTTTATGTAAAAAGATGTTGGTTTAGACAACCTTTGTAATTGGTTTTAGTGTATATTTTGGTGAATTATATTGTGTTGGTAAATTGTTAGTTTCATAGATTGATAAAATATTTTAATTGTATTGATATATTTCATCAGGTAGTTAGTTTAAGATTTTAATTAATAATACTGGGACATTGCATTGATATTCTGCAGTTACATTCTGTAAGTATTGCATAGTATTGATATTCCCTTGTCACTGGGAGGAAATAGTACATTGTATATAAAATTATATTAGTATTCCATACTTACATTGATGGAATGCTACATTGTATTGGTCATTCATACAGAAGGTAGTTTGAGCCTATAACGATTAATTCATTGCTTTCATATTCATAGTTAGTGAATAAGGTATTGTATTGAGATTTAATGGCTGATTTGAATGAATAATAAATTTGTCTCTCATAGTTAGTTTTATTGAATAATAAATTGCATTGGTATTTTTTACTATTGAATAATCTTGGACTTGGTAGCTAGTATGTTATATTAGGATGTAAATTTGGTTTGTCAGGAGGGAGAAGTTTTCATTTAGTGTAACAGGTAAATGATATTGGTAGTCGATTACAAAGATTGCATGGGAAAAGTATTGATTTAGGTTTTATGTACTCCCAGTTTATGAAGATTATACTGGACACTCACCTTGTGAATGACCTTGGCCTTGGAGCAAGCATCTTTAAGAGTTGTGAGTCCCTAGGGGTACAGTGTGTGGCTGAGCCCCAGACCATCCCCTTCACCATTACCTGGCAGAGAACGGTCACAGAGTGTGATGTTACAGAAGGAAAGGTAAGATAAATACTTCTTATTCTAAAGTCCAGATTTTAAAACTAAAATCGACGAATGATCATTCATTTCAATTCTAGATACACCTTTTGTATTTATATACAAATATGTACCTACAGAATGTATGCAAATTTATATTGTACATATTAAGGTTTTTACATTCACTTTTCACGTACCAGTATCTTTATTATCTTAAGCTGTGTAAAGAAGGAGAAACAAATTAGGATTAGTGACTTTACTTATAACTATATTTGTTCACTTCAGATTTTTTTGTTTTTTTGTTGAAAATAATCCGATTAATCAGTGAACAAGTTACAGAAGAACACTGTTCTGTAAGCAACATACCAGATATCACACTTTATTTTGAAAGTCATGCAATGAATATTTTTAGTTCACAAGTTAGAGCTCAACATGAGAAGGATCAAGATAATTTTGTATGAGATACCTAAATGTGACTCATTTAATGTCTAACAGGTAGATACATGGACAAGACAGACGGTGGAAGATAATGTTCTTACCCTCATACCTACTTCAGACTTCGTTCATTTTGTCAAGAGTTTCAAACAGGTACCTTAGTTTACATATTGTTAAATCCCTTTTCTTTGCTGTGTGTTTAAAAAGGTGATTTGAAATACTGCAGCTCTACATGATTTACACTGAACCAATATGAGACACATTTTGGTCCTGCTGTCTCTTTGGGATTTATGTCGAAGAAGCCTTACTTGATTGTTATATTTAAGTTGATGATATCTATCCATAAAGATAATCATTCGATACAATTATTTAAAAAAAAAATGACCAGAGAAAGTCATACTTTGTAGGATTGTTCCTTTCACTGAAAAATCATATAAAGAGAAAAATAAATGAATGATTGATGTACCAGTAAACCAGCAAGCTTTTATTTTATCAGTTACAGATGGGCGAGGATCAGGGACAGACAACTCTGAAGCAATATATAAAGACCATACAGCAGCATTATCAAGGAAAGCATTTAACTGCTGTTGTTTTAGGGATGGAGAAATATTTCAGGTATTAAGGAGATAATTTGAAAAGATGAATTGAACCATTTGTTGAACATCTGTTTACAATTAATTTTCTTAGTTATTTTTATATAACAATAATATCCTCAGAAGCGACATGTGTATTCCTCTGCTTCTTCCTCTTTTATACTTTAATTTCTGTTTGATTTATTAACTGAATACTAAAGCAGTTATCCTTTCATCAAATAAAACAAAAATACTTGTTTCATGCCCCCCTCTCATATACCTGGTATCCATAATGCAATAGACCGCAGAATTTGTTTGTACTGTATTATAAAAAAACCATATCAATGGTAAAAAAAACACTTGCAATACAATATGCATTAGATAAATATTTAAAAGTTTAATATGAATGCATGCTGTTGCATTGGTGAACAGTGCTGAAAATTGTACATACTTTCAGAAACAAGTTAGTTAGATGAAGGGAACAAATGGTCATTAGGTGGATTGATCAAGTTACATTTTGTAACTTTTCGTGCTAAACAGGGACCAGAAAACAGCCATACAGCGTAAACACAAAGAGGTAGTGCGCTCTATGGACCAGAGAGAACCTTCACGACCAAAGAAAACAAAAACAGGGGAGACAACTTCAGTAGTGTCTAGAATGGAAGTGGAGGAGGTAGGAATATATCTATATATAAGTCATTTGCCAATGTAAAATTAAACACCTATATATTTTTATCAGGCTTTTGGCTGTCATGAACTTCAAAAAATGTTTAAGTCAGGTTATATTGTCCAACTACCTGTTAAACTTCCTGGTTTCTGTATAAAAGCAATAATTTTCATAAATACCTTATCAGATTGCAGTACAATTCAGTCAGCAGTTAATATGTTATGAAAACTGAGGCCATTTTTGATGCTGAACAGAATTTGATCAGGCCAATAGAAAAAGGAGGGAAGACGATATGATCGGTCAATGGTGTAAGCGTAAAAAGTAAGATTCATCAGTTTGAAAATATGTAATATCAAAGTTTTACTGCATAGACAACCAATGTATGTATTAATCGTGTCACAACGTTTCAAGACCACTTGGTCCCTTTGTCAAGTTATGACAAATAAGAGCTTGACAAAGGGACCAGTTGCTCTTGAAACATTGCAACACATTTAATACATGCATTCATATCTTGACAAATTTAAAGGAACTAGTTGGTCTTCAAACCTTGTGACGCATTTAATATGTACCCTGTTTGTGTATAAAGGAAAACTTTTGGTATGTAAAATTTAGTATCTCTTTGCACTAAACATTTGAGCAGGAATGACTAAATTGTGAAATGATATCAGTAATTTGATCTGGATTTTTCTATTAATTTCAAGTCATCATATTCCGTCTTTGCGTACTGCAGAGTTATCTTCTCTTGTGAGCAGGGATTGGTTGTTACGTCATTGGTTTGTGAGAGTAACGTCATCAATTTTTGAGAAAACGACGTAATTTTCTCACACAAACCAATGAAGTAACAATCAATACCTGCTCACAAGAGAAGATAACTCTGCAATACGCAATGACGGAATATAACCAGAGGTACCCTTTACTGCTTTGCCTTGTTCACAGTGTAAAATGGCATCATTTGCAATATTTTACTTATATTGAAGGTAAAGTTATTGTCAATAATACTTACAAATGTGTATGTTTATTATTTATCCTGCAGGCAGTCATTGAAACACAGCTCCAGACAGGAACCATGGTACACATGATGGAGTCTAATGAAGAGTTTGCACAAATGGTTAAAACATTCACCAAGGCTGTTGCTGAAAAACCTGCAAAGTAAGCTATTTCAATAAAACATATCCTATCTCTCCTACATTTTGATATTTGTAAACACCAGGGTCCTTTCTCAAGCTCAAGCATGGATTTTGTGCTAAAGCCTTATTTCTTGTTCCCGTTATAAATTTTTAAAGATATCTTATTTTGTCAATGATTTTGGGGGGAAATTAAGAGACTTAAAGCTAAATACTGTTTTCAATGTTTACATTTGACTTTTTGATTGTTTGGCATGATTTAAGCGACTTACAAGAAAATTAGTTTGAGCACAGAATCTATGCTTGAGCATGAGAATGGTTTCATGAATACGGGCCCAGGTGTTTATTCCTGTGTATTTAGGGTAAAGTTGTGTTTTTCACATGAAGGTTGTGGTTTCATGACTATAATACCTGATATTGGTTTGTACATTGCCATATTCTGCACACTCACTGCTGCTGTTGAAGCTGTATCTTTCTCACTCACTTTAAATCTTTAAAGTCAATATTTTCCATCTATCTCTATTACAATAACTGTTCTAGGCTTATGATGCATATCACTCAGTTTTCTTGCATTATGATTTTGCCAATGAACTTGCAAGATGTCTTCATCTTATCTGAATTTTCACTGAATTCCAACAAGCCTGGTTGAAATGGGATGGTCACCCTACTACTGATCAGTTGTGAGAACAATAAGTAAATTGTTGTCAGAAAACACTGCATGAAAACATGGATCATCAATGACATTACACTGCTTCCAAATTTTTCCAATTAACAGACAACAATTATGTACTAGATGTATGTAAGACATTTCCAGCTTATGGTTTTAATATATGACCCTGACCGTCTGTTAAGATCACAGGGGTCAAAAGTTCAAGCAATTTCTCATGAATAACCAAAAAAGGTTATAAATCTGGTATTTGGCCTGTGTGTGTGATGAGATGAAGGGCTACTGATTTTGTTCAAATGAATGACCTTTTGGCCTACCTTCAAGGTCAAAGGAGTCAATTTGCTAGAACCTTTAATTAATATTTTCTGAAAAGCAAAACATCATAGGGCCATCACAATTGACAAGCAGGGCTTAAAGGCTATCAATATTGTTGGTTAATTTGAAATTTACCAATTTTGAAGGTCACAGATAGGAGATGCATTTGCCAACAGTATTGAATGTGAGTGATACAAGCCTATTGTGCCTCTTGTATAATATATCTTCCAGTACGACCGAATCGTATTTCAAATAAATGTTTATATAAAATAAATACTTCTGTCTTTCAATAAACTGTTGTGTTGTTGTTGTAGGAAAGACAGACTAGAGAATGTATTCTCCTTTCATGAGGATGGGACAACTGGTGTCAGAGTAGATAAGTCTGGTCATGGCCTTCTCAAAGTCTGGAAACAGCAGCTCCTCCAGTTTAAAAACATCAGCCCAGACATTGCAGATGCAGTGCTAGCCGAGTATCCCTCCCCTTGGCTTCTGTATAAGGTACACTAAATCTGCATAAACCAAACATGTTATCTGTTGTAAGTCTTTCCTTAAAATTCTTTTTAATGATGTTGATTTTTAAGATGCTGATATAATTATATTTCAGTACATCTGCAGAAAAAATCCCAAAGGTAAAACATGTAATTTTTAGGTTGCCTAATTAATGTTTGCATTTAGTTCATAATCTCCTTATATATCATTTGTAAGTACTTCCACACCAAATGCAGGATGTAAATAAACCTTGAGCTGAACATTGCATTCTTAAATAATTCCACTAAGAAATGTGTGCTTCATGTAACTTTAATTATACCCTCACAACAAGTTATTAAATGTATGCGGGGTTCTACCTGGATGTGTTCCCAACAAAGTCACCTCTCTTCAGACTTATTGTCATGAAACTGCATGTAAAATTCTAAAAACATCAACCTTCTTGAGGTCAAAACAAGGTCACCATGGTTATTTAATTATTAGCTCACCTGGCCCGAAGGGCCAAGTGAGCTTATGCCATGGTGTGGCGTCCATCGTCCGTCCGGCGTCAATATTTTACTTTTAACAACTTATTCTTAATAAACACAAGGCCTAGGGTGATGATTTTTGGCCAGTAGCAAACTGGGATGAAGGACTAATAAGTTTGTGCAAATGAATGACCTTCACTTATATTTAAGGTCACAGGGGTCAATTAATTGTCTTAAAAACCTTTATATGTAAATAATTTCTTCTGAATAACCAAAACGACCAGTATAGTGATATTTGGTCAGTAGCAAGCTGGGATGAAGGACTACCAAATTTGTTCAAATAAATTACCTTTACCCATATTCAAGGTCATGGTGGTCAAATATGTTCAAAATCTTTAAACGACTTCTTCTTAATGACCTAAAGGCCCAGGATGTTGATATGTGTCCAGTAGCATGCTTGGATGAAGGGCTACAAAGTTTGTTCAAAAAATGATCTTGAATAATATTCAAGGTTACAGGGGTCAAATATATTAAAATCTTTAAACCACTTCTTCTGAATAACCATAAGACCTAGAATGTTGATATCTGGTCAGTAGCGTGCTGGGATCAAGGGCTACCAATTTTAAGTGAATGATCTTGACTTAAATTCAAGGCACAGTGGTCAAATTTGTGTAAAATCTTTAAACAACTTCTTCTGAATAACCACGAGGCCCAGAATGTTGATATTTAGCCAGTAATATGCTTGGGTGAAGGGCTATCAAGCTTTTCCATTTGAATGACCTTGACCAACTTTCAATGTCACATTTGGTCAAATATGTATAACCATTTCAATGACCTTATTTCGATAAACAAAAGGATAGGGTGGAGATATTTTGCAAGTTGCATCCTGAGATGAATGGCTACAAAATTTGTTCAAACATAATGACCTTGTTCAACTTTCAAGGTCACAGGGGTGAAATGTTTCTAAATCTTTAACAGGTTCTTTTGAATGACTTTTAATCATCAATATTGATATTTTGCCTGTAGCTTTAGTTTAGATCACTTTTATGGTAACAAGTGTGAGATTTATACCAGATGAGCGATGCAGGCCCATTGGGCCTCTTGTTAATACTTTGTGAGCTTATAATATGGTGTGTTTTCCGTCTTCTGTAAACTTTTTCATTGAACAACTACATAAAATTGGAGGAACTATAGTCATTGTTTTTGGCCAGTAGATACCTGGGATGGAGTGATATAAGGTTTCCTCAAATGATAACATTGACCTACTTTCAAGGTCACAATGTTCAAATACATTAAAAACTTCTGAAAAACAAAATGCCCAAAGTGATAGTATTTGGCAAGTAGGTACCTAGGATGTAGTGCTATGTATTTTCCTCAAATGGATGACCTTAACATACATTCAAGGTCACAGGGGGCAAATGTCTTTTGAACAACTTCTGAATAACAAAGAGGCATGGTGATGGTGATGATATTTGGCCAGTAGCATTCTGTTATGTGATGCTTTAAACTGTCCTCAAATAAATTACCTTGACTTACTTTCAAGGTCACAGGCATAAAATATTTAACAAGAGGCCCAGAGGGCATGTATCGCTCACCTGGATATTTGAGAAATCATGGGAAAATATTCTCAATAAAAGTACTTTAGCAAATATTTCCCAATATGGAGTATCCTCGGCTTAAAAATGTTCCAGACGAAATGAAACTTTATACTTCTCCATTCCAATATATATATAAATATCAAATATATTGATCCCAGTGACCGTGAAAGTAGGTCAAGGTAATTGATTTGAGGTTTATAGCACTCTGTCCCAGGTACCTACTGGCCAAGTATCATTACTTTAAGTCTCCTGGTTAATCAGAATAAGATTTTTAAAGCTTTTTGACACTTAACCCTGTGACCTCAAAAGTAAGTCAAGGTCATTTATTTCATGAAACTTTATATCACTTTGTCCCTGGTACCTCCTGGCCAATTATTAGTAGTCTTGGCCTCCTGGTTATTCAGAAGAAATTGTTGAAAAGTTTTTAACACTTTTTACTCCTGTGACCTTTAAAGTAGGTCAATATCATTTATTAAAGGAAACATTATAGCACTTATGCCAGGTACCTACTGGCCAAGAAGTATTTTTCTGGGCCTCCTGGTTATTCAGAAGAAGTGGTTTAAAAGTTTTTACATATTTGACCCCTGTGACCTTGAAGTAGGTCAAGGTCATTTATTTGAGGAAACCTTATATAATTTTGTCCCAGGTATGTACTAGCCAAGTATCAATATTCTGGGCCTCCTGGTTATTCAGAAGAAAATGTCGAAAAGTTTTTAACACTTTTAACCCTGTGACCTTGAAAGTAGGTTAAGGTCATTAGCCCTCCTGCAACGAAGTTAGGGGNCTGTCAGTCCATAGAAAAAGTTTGTCCAGACAACTCCTTCTACAGTAATGGACCAATTTCAATGAAACTTTCCTGAATATGATAAGTACCACCTGAAGTTGTGCATCCAGGTATTATTTTTTCCTTTTGACCCTTTTTTTATGGCCCTTTGTTGAAAAATCCTTGTTCCGACAACTCCTCCAAAACTATGGAGCCCATTTCAACAAAACTTTTTAGATATGATAACTATCACCTGAAATTGTGCATCGATGTATTATTCTTTTCATTCTGACGCTTTTTATGGAGTTATTGCCCTTTGTTGAAAAATACTTGCCCGCACAATTTCTTCAAAACTACTGGACCAATTTCAATTAGAGTTTTCAGAGATAATAACCACCACCTGATGTTGTGCATCGGACTAATTTCAATTAGAGTTTTCAGAGATAATAACCACCACCTGATGTTGTGCATCCATTTTTTTCCTTTTTCAATCTGACCCTTTTTAGGTCACCTCAAGTGACCTATTGCTATCCATCTTCGTCCAGCGGCCGTTAACATTTTACATTTTCAACTTAAGCTGAAATACTGGCAAAGTGATTTCATTAATATTTCATCGGAAGGTTACTGACATCGCCCTGACCAAGTGTTGTTATTTTTCGGGTTGATGAGAAATCCAATATGGCTGCCATGGCCGCCATTTTGAAAAACTTTTTCAAAATTAAAGTCGAGTTCTACTGGGCCGATTGAACTGAACCTTGGTAGGAATGATTGACCCATGGTCCTGACAGTGTTATTATTTTTTGTCAATCAGAAATCCAATATGGCTGCCACTGCTGCCATTTTGAAAAACTATTTCAAACTTAAAGTAAAGTTCTGATGGGCCGATTAAACTGAAACTTTGTAGGAATGTTCGACTCATGGTCCTGACAAACTTAGTTAATGTTGTACTTTACTATTATTTACTCAAATTGGTACATATTTCAACAACAAAAATAAATACTGTAGGACTCCGGTGACCGTTAAGGCCCATGGGCCTCTTGTTTATGGAGTAATGACCCTTTGTTGAAAAATACTTCTCCAGACAACTTCTCCAACACTGTGCTCCCAATTTCAATGGAACTTTCAGATATGATAACTACCAACTAAAGTTGTGCATCCAGGAATTTTATTCCAACCCTTTTTATGTAGTTATGGCCCTTTATTAAAAAATGCTTGTCCCAACTACTTATCTTAATCTACTGGGCCAATTTCAAAGGGTATTAGTTAGCCTTTGGCTTACAGTTCTAGTTTATTTGAGGAAACTTTTGATCACTGTCCCAGGTACCTACAGGCCAAGTATTATTACTCTGGGCCTCCCGGTTATTCAAAAGAAGTGGTTGAAAGGTTTTTACATATTTGACCCATGTGACCTTGAAAGTAGGTCAAGGTCAATTTTTTGAAATTTTCTATAGCACTCTTGTCCCAGGTACCTACTGGCCAAATATGATTAATCTGGGCCTCATGGTTATTCAGAAGAAGTTGTTTAAAGGTGTTTACATATTTAAGGAAACTGCATACTAGCCAAATACCATGGCCCTATAGGTTCTCCAGGTCTTAAGAAGAATTCGTTCAAAGAAAAAGTTGACAGACTATACACCATAAGCTCCAAACAACTCATTAGGTATAAGAAGGAGGTCCTTTGTTAAGATATTTGACCAGTAGCATGCTTGGATAGAGTAGTATAAAGTTTCCTCAAATAAATGACCTTGACTTACTTTTAAGGCCACAGGTGTCAAATGTGTAAAAATGTTAAACAACTATAACGAAGATAAAGAAGAGTGCCAGGGTGGTGATAGTTGGCCAAACAGCATGCTGGGATAGAGTAATACAAATTTTCATCAAAGAAATGATCTTGACCTACCTCACCAAATTTAATATGAAATGGGTTTTTTGGCCAAGAGGTCTCAATGTTGCATACGGGTGCCCTATAGTAATCACTATGTCTGTCTGTCTTTCTGTCTGTCTGTCCGTCCACAAATTTTGTTCCTGGCTGATATCTTTAATATTTATTGACCGATGTACATGAAACTTGGTCAAGATGTTCAGTTCATAAAAATACACATTGAGGTAAAAAGGCAAGGTCAAAGGTCAAGGTCATTAGGTTCAAAGGTCAAGGTCAAATTTTACATTTTTTCACTGATGAATATTTTGTTATGACATTATGAAGCAAAGTTGATCAGAATTAAACCAGGATTCAACTGACAAAAGGTCAAGGTCATCGGGTCAGGGGTCAAGCTCAAATTTTGTAGCTTTTCACAGGTGAACATTTCGCTATGACATTATGAAGCAAAGTTGTTCGGAATTAAACAAAGAAACACACTGAGGTAAAAAGTTGAGGTCAAAGGTCAAGGTCAAATTTTGCATCTTTTCACTGATGAACATTTTGTTATGACATGATGAAGCAAAGTTTATCAGAATTAAACAATGAGTCAACTGACCAAAGGTCAAGGTCATTGGGTAAAAGGTCAATGTTAAATTTTGTAACTTTTCACTGGTGAATATTTCGCTATGACACTTTGAAGCAATGTTGTTCAGAATTAAACAAGGAGTCAATTGACCAAAGGTCAAGGTCACTTGCTTTAAGGTCAAGGTTAAAATTTTGTACCTTTTCCCTGATGAATATTTTGTTATGACATTATGAAGCAAAGTTGATCAGAATTAAACCAGGATTCAACTGACAAAAGGTCAAGGTCATCGGGTCAGGGGTCAAG